AAAGGCAACCTAATAAATGGGAGAAAATATTTGCAAATCATATTATCTAATAAGGTGTTCATAATCAAAATAAGAAACTTACACAACAGAAAATAAACAATCTGATTAAAACATGGGCAGAGGACCTGGATATTTTTCCAAAGAAGACATAGCCAATAGGGACACGAAAAGGCACTGAACATCAGTAGTTATTAGGGAAATGCAAATCAAAACCACAATCAGAGATCACCTCAAACCTGTTACAATGGCTGTCAAAAAAGACAAGAGATAAAAAGTGTTGGTGAGTACCTGGGAACCCTTGTACACTGCTGGTGAGAATGTAAATTGGTACAGTCACTATGGAAAACAGTATAAAAGTTTCTCAAAAATATAAAAATTGAACTATCATATGACCTAGCAATCCTACTTCTTGGTATATATCCTAAGGAAATGAAATCAGGATACTGTAAGATATATCTGTATTTCCATGTTTACTGCATTATTAAATATAGCCAAGATACAGAAACAACCGAAGTATCCATCAACAGATGAAGGGATCTCTCTCGATCTCTCTCTCTCTCTCTCTCTCTCTCTCTCTCTCTCTCTCTCTCACACACACACACACACACACACACTCACAATGAAATATTATTCAGCCATGAGAAAGAAGAAATCCTTACTTATTGCAACAACATGGATGGACCCCGAGAGTATTATGCTAAATGAAATAAGCCAAAAAGAGAAAGACAAATAATATGTGACATCATTTATATGTGGAATCTAAACAAAGAAGTCAAAAGCAGAGAAACTGAGAGTACAAAAGGGGCTGCCAGGGGTTGGAGGGTGGGGGAAATAATGAGAAGTTGGTAGAGGGGTACAAACTTTAGGTGAATAAGGTCTTGGGATCTAATGTATAACATGGTTACTATAGCTGATAACACAGTATTGTATGAATGATATTGCTAAGAAAACAGAACTTAAATATTCTCGTGCATGCACGCGTGCACACACCCAAAGATAAATACATGAGGTGATGAATGTATTAATTAACCAGATAGGAGGAATCCTTTCACAGTGTAAATGTATCATCTTGATTTTTCTCAAAACTTAAAGAAAAAGAAGCCAACCATCCAAAAAACAGAGATCCTACTACAAATAGCTATCAGGTCAGCCCATCCATGACAGAAAAAACATTCCTAGACAGAATGATTTAGAGAGCCCACATCGTGTTTATGTTATAATAAACTCTCATTTTCATTTTTTAAAAAGATTTTATTTATTTATTTTTAGAGAGGGGAAGAGAGGGAGAAAGAGAAGGCGAGAAACATCAATCTGAGAGAGAAACATTGATCAGTTGCCTCTCCTACGTGCCCTGAGAGACGAACCAGCAACCCAGACATGTGCCCTAACCAGGAATCAAACAGGCGACTCTCCATTTTGCAGGAAAATGCCCAACCAACTGAGCCACACCAGTGAGAGCACAATAAACCCTCATTTTCTATAGACTTAACCTATAATGTCAAAAATTTATCAATACATACTATTATTTTAAGAAAAAATAGTTTTTTAATAACTAAAGTGCCTTTATTAAAAGTGGTTCAAAAGTCTGCAAAAATTATTGGTCTCCAAAATTTTATATCAGTTATTTCCTATATGGACCACTGTGTTAATGACTCTGTGTGTGTGCATGTGCACACAGCATGGGTGTACTACTTAAAGATCCAAAGAAAAGCATGCAGGGTGAATACTGTAGATGATATGATTAAAAAAACAAACAAACAAAAAACTAGCCTAAATTCTAAAATGCAAACAGGAAAAACATTTTTCTAGTCTCATTATTTGGAAAACCTTGTTGTGAGTACCATCTTGTGGTAGGTAAAACTATGGGCCCTTCTAAATATGCCTGTGTCCTAATCCCTGGAACCTGTGAATATGTTACTTTACATGCAAAAAGGACTGTGCAGCTGTAACGAAGGATCTTGATGCAGGGAGATTATCCTGGATTATCTGAGTAGGGCTCAATATAATTACAAAGGTCCTTATAGGAGAGATGCAGGAGGGTCAGCCTAAGACACGGAGAAGTGAGGACAGAAGCAGAGGTCAGAAAGAGAAAGCTGAAGATGCTATAGTGCTGGCTTTAAAGATGGTGGAAAGGCCACAGCCACAGAATGCAAGTGGCCTGTAAAACTGGAGAAGGCAAGAAAACAGATTCTCCCCTGGAGAAGGAACAGACTTGGTGACACCTTAATTTTAACTCAGTAAGACCCATTTTGGACTTCTGACCTTCAGAATTGCCAGGTAATGAATTTTTGTTGTTTTAAGCCACTAAATTTGTGTCAAATTCTTAAGATATCAATAAGAAACCGATACACACTTTAGGTTTGGGGCCTGTAATCTGCACTGCTCCTTTTAATGTAACTGTACTTTTTTTAACACTCCATTAGCATCCCAAAAACAATCCAAAATTTCTCTTTAGAAGCCATTTTAAACAAGCAAATGAGCATTAATATAGAACTCAACACTTCAGAGTACAATTAGCACTCTCAAACTACTAACAAGTAGTTTAACAAATTAGGATAACATTCTAGAGGGGACTATCCATGAAAAGCCTTGGGTGTCCAACATTTTGGCGTCTCTGGGCCACACTGGAAGAACGGTTGTCTTGGGCCACACATTAAATACACAAATACTAATGAAAACTGATGAGAAAAAAGGTTTTAAGTAAATTTATGATTTTTGTGTTGGGCCACATTCCTAGCCATCCTGGGCCACATGTAGCCCACAGATTGCAGGTTTGACACCCCTGTTTCTTGGCCTCTTTATTCTCATTAATTCTCCTGACAGATTTGTAAGTAAGCAAAAAATGAATACAAGTGTTTATGTACAAAAGTGTTCAGGGCAGCTCCACTTACAATGGCTACATAGTCTAAATGTCAACATTTAGGAAACTGCTAAATAAGCATCGGTGCATACATATTATGAAATATTATGCAACCATTAAAAATGGTGCTAGTGAGAATCTTTAATAACATGGGGAAATACTTCAGATATAATCATAAATGAAGAGACAAACATACAGATACAAAATACATATAGTAAAATATTAAATTAAAACATACATATATAGATGAAGGAGAAATAAAATGAAAAAATTAAGTCATTTCAGTGACAGGAGTATGGTAATTTAAATTTTCTCTTTAAACTTTTACAATTTACAAATTTCAACAGCATGCACATTCATTTATTTAGAATCCATCTCACTACAAATAAGTAGTTGAAGGTGCTAAAAAGTAGCCTTTTTATGTTTGTAACTGAATCATGAGGCCATGAGTCAAACTACTGATGCTGTTTTCCGAAGCAGAAACTTAAGATATTACATACTAAATATACCATAACAATGTTTACATTATCAAATAATTTCCATCTATCAAACAATATATTAATTAGAATTTAGTCTTAATGTTCAAGAATATACAAAAAACTTGAGTGATATCAAAATAACTAAAAGATAAGCCCTTCTCTCAGTCCATTCAGGTCTCTGATCACACTTGCCCCTTATTCCACTCTAGCCACACTTCGCTCCTGGGTGCTCCTTGAAAACATCAAGTACACTCTCATTGCAGGGTCTTTGCCTGGAATATTCTTCCCCTATGTAGCCACATGGCTATTTCCTCACCCTCCTTCATGTCTAGATTCAAGTGTCACTTTCTTAACAAGGCCAACTGTACCTCCCTGCTTAGCATCACAACCTACCCTCCATCTGGCATCCTTCACTCAGTTCTAAGTTTCTCCTTCCTCCATAGCATTTACCATCTTCTAATAAACTATACAATTTTTAAAAATGTATGTTGTTTAATGTTTTTCTCCTCCTACTGGAAAATAAATCTAAGAAGTGAAGGGCTTTGGTGGTAGGACCTTATTTAGTCACTGATATGTCAAAACAGCCTGACGCAACGGTGCTCAATAAATATTTACTGAACATATGAATTACTAATATCATGTCAAAGAACAGAGTCAGTAATACAATCTAATAATTATATCTACCACTTAAAAATTGGATAGTTTTCTGTGCATGCATAATCAAGCAAAATATATGGCATATCAAGTTCTTAAAAGAAAATTTGGCCATCTTTATCATTTCTGCATGTTTGTGTTTACCAAAAACTCCTAGGTAACTTATTGAAAAGCATCCCAATTTTACTTTGTTAACACTGTACAATAGATGATATAATCATGGAGGCAACTTAAACGGTTTTAAAAATATGTTATCTATTAGGCCAAATATGCTGAAATGCTGTACACAATATCCAATACTACTCTGTATTAGGAAGCAAAAACAGCTTTTTGAATTACATGAGCTTTGTTATTTTGTATGCTGAAACAATTCAGAAAACCAAATTCTGATAAAATTTTTGCCAGATGATAACCCTCAATTTTTTTATTTCAATTGGTATTTCTTCAGTTTGCGAATGTTCATTGTTCCTATGAGACATCATTTTTTGGGAATGGGGAAGCATAGTCAAGTATCAAAAGCCTGCCCCATTTTCTGAATCAAAAACTGCCAATAACTGCCTAATACCTGAAATGGGATCCAATCAGAATTTAAGTCCCTGTGATTTCCTAAATAACCAGACTATCCCTCTTTATTTTTTAAAATACGTATTTAATTATTGATTCCAGAGAGAAAGGGAGTGAGAGAAACATCAACGTGAGAGAAACTGAGATCAGTTGCCTCCCACACTCATCCCGACCAGGAACCAAACTCGAAACCTACACATGTGACCTGACTGGGAATTGAACCTGTGACCTTCTGGTTTCAGGACAACACTCCAACCAACAGAGCCACACTGGCCAGGGCCTATCCCTATTTGTTTTTAAAGAAGTTCTCTATAAACTTACAATCCTTCACTCCCAGAGTTTGAAGCCTAAAACTTGTGACAGGGTCTCTACAACCGCTAAATATAACAGGTCTCACGTAATGCAAGAGAAAATCCTCCCCAAAGATGTTATTTAGCCAATACCTCTGAATGACGTTCTACACTTCCAGTGTCTGATCCAGAGTGCTGCTCATTTACATCATCCTCAACGTCTGACCCTGAATCCCGTTCATCTTGTACTGGGGTAGCGCCACCATCATCTGCTTAAAAATAAGACAAAAACCCACTTAAGGTGTAAGATGGATGACATCTACAGGTGAAATAAACAAAAAAGTCAAGAATAATGTAAGAGTAAAGGTTACTCTGTGCTTACAAAGAGCACTGATGAAGCATAACTAACTAATAATGCTAATGTTGTAAACAGGACAACAGTATAATACTCATATAAATACCAATAATTATAACATGTATTGTGACATATATGGTAGAAAAAATACACATAAAAGGAACGTGAAGCTTAAGGACCATAACTAAGGACCAAGTCAACAACCTCTAAATAAGTGTACCCTGTAACAATTTCAGCTTTCTTAAAACCTAGGTCTTTTCTGTCCATAGCATTTACTTACCACCTTCTGATGTACTATGTGATTTACCAAGTTACTTGTTTAATATGATTCTTTCGTCACTTGAAAGTACTAAAAGAGCAGGAATTTTGGTTCACTGCTGAATCCCTGGAGCCCAAACACTACCTGGTAAATGATGTACAGTGCTTGTTAATGAATGAAGAGCACAAGGAATTGCAGTTAAGAAATAGTGTGAGCTCTTAAAAAAAAAAAAAAAAAGTACTGTATCATATTACAAAATGGTAAAATAAATTGCTACCTCACTTTAACCAATATAAAAATATAAAGTAAAATTGTATTGAAAGAAATTTAGGGTTGTTGGAAGAAATGGGAAGACTTGGTTAGAAGTTTAATAAAAATTTTTTAAATGAAACAGTAGCCTACAGGAAAACAAAAAAGTTGCATTAAGAATGGAACCACTATCATACTAAAGAGCTACTTTACTTAGCTAAGGAGTAAATAATAAAACCAATAATTCTGAAATTTAACAATCACGCTGCAACAGTGTGTGTATGGGGGAGAAGAAGGCACATAGGAAGATAAAACCCAGTCCTCGCATAATAGGAAATCATTACAGAATGCCTACAAATGATGCAACAAGAGACAGCCATAAGTTAGGAACAGGGAGGTAAACATCAAAAAAAAAAAAACTTTAAAGAAAGGAAATTAGGGAACTGCTGTTTTTTTCCTCGTATTTTAGCACTTAATCTTTATACATGTATTACGTATAATTACTTCAGAAACAACTTAAAACCACAAATGAACTAAAAAACTATTTTGAAAACATCAGGAAAACATTTAAAGGTAAACAGCAGTGCATGCTTTGAAAACCATTTTTAATCATAACTATTCCCTGCCATATATAAAGTGAACTTAAAAGAGAGAAGAGGTTAACGTTTACAAAATTACTTAAGCACTTTTGAAAGAGAAAGCAAACTTAACGTTTTTCTCTCCCCCAATAGGTCCTGCCTTATTCGTCTTTGTATCTCTGGTTCCTAGCGCAGTGTTAACACAGTGGGGCCCAGTAAGTGTTTATTGAATAAACAAGAAAAAAAAAGAGACCAAACTTCAGTGAGAAAAGGAAAGATCTCAAAGTGAAGAAAAGGCACAAAAATCATCAGTAATTGCTAGAGGTAAACTAAAATATTAACACAACTAAAACAAAGTTCCTACGTTTTCTTTACTGGGAAACCCGTGTTGCGAGGCTAAACTAACCCTAACTCGGAGTAAGTCTAGGTAAGGTCCCGCATCTTATCTCCCCCCCCCCACCCCCACCTCCAGCGAACAGTTAGTTCCCTTCAATTCTCGAAAAACACTCTCAACTCCTGAAAAAAATCCGGTAACAGAGACGACCTTCCTTAGGACCCTGCACACAGTAAACCCTTAATACATGGAATTGGCTTCCCCGATTCAGAAGACGGCTTTCCCTCTAGAATCCCCTCCTCAAGGTTCTAACTTCCGGGCCCGCAGCAGGTCAGAGGTCTCTTCGAGCTCCGCCTCAGAGTCCACGTCCGGACCAGTCCGGGAGGGACGCCTGCGCGGCCTCTCTCCCCACCTCCGCAGGGGTGCCAGGCCACCCCTGCCGAACAGCCCTACAAGCCGAGTAGCCGCCCCGCCCTCAGCCCTGTGCCCGAGGTCTCTGCCCCACCTGACTGGTCGCCGCTGTAATATTCGGAATCCATGGCGGGGGGCGGGGGAGGCTCTCGGCCGAGAGTGTCCGCGCCCCACGCCTCCCCTGTCACCTCCTTCTCGGCGGTGCGGAGCCTCCCCCCCACCCCGAAGGCGCGGTCCGGTGCTCAGAGGTTCCCGCCCGACTGGAGGGTTAAAGGGTGCGGATAGTAAAACAACAGCAGCGCCGGATGCAAACACTTCGACCTACAAGCCCAGGCAGAAGAGGCCCTACCCGAAAGCAAGGCTTGACTTCCCATAAGTACCTCTGGGGCCAAAATGGCGTCTGCGACGACCCTCAGAGGAACACAGCGCGCAGGCGCAATCGTCCTTCAGCCGGCCAATGAGAAGACGCAACGGTAAGGCCGCACGGCGAGTACAGAAAGGAGACCACTGGGAAAAGTGAGCGGGAACTCTGACTTCAGTGTCTTCCTTTGGAGGAGTACCCTGGTCTGTCTCCCGTAGAGGTGGTAATGTTACTTTATTAGTTCTGTGTTCACACATTGTTCGAGGAACTTCTGAGTTACTCTTCCGAAAAATGAAGACCTTTAAAATTCATTTTCCATCAGTAGGCCAGTTAATTATCGTTACCGAGATACAGCGAGGCGCTTAACTCCCGCCGTTGGTGTTGGGAGGAAGTGGCGCATTGCTCTCTGGTACTTGTAGTTCGAAACCCAGGAGGCTGTGATGCGGCCCTAACTGACCTGATCGAAGGACCTCTTTTCAAGGCATTTTTCTCTCGTTTAAAATACTGGCTTAATTTCCATCTTAACAAGCCATTTGGTCAACAGTAGGAAGTACTGGTTTTTGTTTCCATACAGATCCCCAGTTAAAGGAGTGTGACATTGCTGAGTATTACTTTAAGCCTTTGCTCCCAAGAGACAGGTATGGTTAAGAAACAACCTGACCGATCAGTGTTCCGGGAAAGGTTCTCTGTGAAGAACAAGCCGCCTCCCTATGACTTCGATAAAACTCACTTTCCACTCTTTTTCCTGACTCCTATAACACTTGTAGATTACTCCCTTGTTTCCTCGTGACAAGGTCAGACAAAGACTTTTCCCCTTTTTTCTGGACCTGCTTTTAAGGGCAGGACGCCCCTCACCCCCAGGTTCCTGTTTTTTTCTCGTGAATGATTAGCTGGGGTTAGAACTCTTTGCTCCCCTGAAAATGGCTAGACACGGGTACACATTTCTGTTCACATGGCTGACTGATAGTTCTCCTGATTGCAAATCAATCCCAACTATAAATCATCCCATCTACCTGTGGAAGACCAAGTCACAACTACCCTTCCTACATACTCTCATACTCTGATCTTTAAATCTGTGGTGCTCTCCCTATTGCAATGCCCTGAATAAAACCCATTTCCTTGTTCATTTTTGTCTTAGACAAAGGGGAGAATTTTCTTGCCTTTTGATTAGAGGAGGTAGTAGAGGTATAAACAAAGATTCCCCAAGAGGTGCAGACTTGCAGACATCGGGCCTTTCGTTAGTTGGCAAAGCTTACTTATATCTTGGACTGGATTTCCAGGCATGCTCCCCACTCCTCACGCCCAACCAGTGCACTGCTGCAAGGGCCTCATTTGGTGCCCTGGAAGGTCCACCTCCCACCTTGGAATTGAGAGGTGGGTTCTTCAGCTGTGACAATCCTTGAACCCATTATTAGCCAGTCAGAATATTCTGACAAGAAACAGTTTGAGGCTCCCAAAAAGAACATTGGAAGAGAAGGAAGAGAGGGGTAGTTTCTTTCTGGAAATACTCATATTCTTATAAGAGAGTTCATGGGTATTCCTTCCCCTGTGTAACAGAAAGAGCTTTGAAATCTAAGTCCCCTACTTCAGTGGTGGGAATGACATCTTCTCAGGCTGTTGTAAAGTCAGAAGAACAAGGAATTAACAAGACCTGGAACCAAACATACAATATTTAAATATTTACTTATCTGCATTTGATGGAAGAGACCCTAAGATCTAAAGGTCTTTTCTAAAGAGAGTGGGTGAAATGGCACTGTATAAATAAGGCAATGTGAATAGGACAGAAGTCCAGGAAGAGATTCAATGAAAGGTAACCCAGGGCAAACCCTACTAATAAAAATTTTGGAATTTCACCAGAGGTATATGACCAATGACTGCAAGAGGTTGGGATAAACATTGCAATTACAAAAGGATAATTAGTGAATTTTTTAACAAAAAATTCTATCTGTCCTGGTGTTTTGGAGAATGGAGACAAGACAGGATAGAAAAGTTAGGGAAAGCTCCTGATAAGTAGATTGAGGAAATAGGAACAGACATCACTAGCTGATAAACTGCTAAGTCCTCTCAACAGAGCCCATACCTCCATGTGTGATCAAAGGGAAATGGTTTTTGGCAGGAAATTCCTGTAGTGATTGATCTGGCTAAAACAAATCAATCCAAGATAGAGAAAAAAATTGACTGGAAAACGACCCAAAAGCTTATTATACCATCATTATAATGAAAATTCAAACCACAAGTAGAAGGGGGACTGAGGGGGACAAATGCCATGGCACTTCCAGAGCAGACCATATTAGGAACAAGACCCCCTCCCAACCAGAAAGCAGAGACAGAATTTGGTACCCCAAAGTTTAGGAACAATCTACTCTTGGAAACACATAAAATCCTGAGAACTGACTGACCATGGCATGCAACTCACTCGTAAATTCACCTGCATCCACTCAGACATGTACTTTTGCTTCTTTTTCAGCGGTGCCCTATGAGACTTGTGACCAGGAGAGCAGCAGGTGGAGAGCTTGTCCTGGGCTTACCACCTGATCCTGTCTCCAGGAACCTGTGTTCTGGTCTTTTTCTCTTAACCTAAATAAAATTTGCATTCGCTTTCACCGAAACTTACTCTTGAATTCTTTCCTGGGTAAAGTCAAGAACCTGCAGGTCACAGAGTGCTTAGGGGTCCCATTTCAGGTCTGCCTCCAGTAACAGGTAGAAGCAAACTGAACACACAGCAATGTGCTGAGCCCCAGAAGGCAGCAAAGAAGTTTTTGTACAAAAGAAGCCAACTATTCAGTTAGTGAGGCAGGATGCACCTTTTGAAAGAAACATAGAGTCTTAGTTAAAGCACTGTGCTTGTCAATGCATACAGAGCTCCAAGAGAGTTCCCCAAAGTCCCTTTTCACCAGCTGGCTGACCCTCAGGGCCCTGATTGAGAAATGCTATAGCAACACAGATATGCCTTTCTGAGTCTGGGCTGCCTTGAATTTTGAGGGTTGCCATCTTGCCAGTCCTCATGCCTATTCCAGCTCCAGCACAACTGGTTCATGCTGGTGATGGTGGAGAGGCACACAGAAGGGAGGCTGTTTTTCCCACCAAAGATTCTAAAGCCAAAGAAGAGGGGAAGGAAGAGGCAAGCTTGCAGCAGTCAAGTACTCTTTTTCCCTTGACTGATGGTAATGGAAAGACACTGATTTTCCTAAGTGATTGCAAGATTTATTTGACCAGCCTTTTGAGACACGGTACCTTGACAAACATATCTTGGAGTGAAAGGTCACACAATATAAGAAAGAGCCTGGCACTGGCACAGCTGTAAATCAGAGGCTGAGAGCCCTGGGTTCTGGGCTTATCGTGCTTGGTGAGATGGGACAAGCTATTAGCCTTGTAGGTATTTCAGCTGTCACATGTGTCAAATGAAAGAGTTGAATCAGGATATTCAAGACCTTTTAGTTTCACTATTCTATTTAAGTCAGAACTCCAAGCCTAAACTTCCTTCTTGTGCTTGAGCCACTAGGGGGCCCTGCCAGGAAAGAAACAAATGAAGACAAATACATGCTAAGCCTACTCCCATGGCTGTGCACGTTCTTACACATCCCAACCTTACAACTCATTAGGACCGGTGCAAGATTTGTTTGTAATACTGAAAACTGGGACACACTTGAAAGTGAGTGGATAATGAATTGCTAAAAATCAGTTCCATGGCATACCATGCAGCCACAAATAAAATTGAATTGGATCTTTAGCTCTTACTCAGAAGGATGTCCAGAATATATTAAGTTAAAAAAAGAAGTCATAGAATGCTATAAATGGTATAACTTTATTTATGTGAACACCCAAAAGAGTGGGAGGAAAAAAACCCCAACCTAAGTTCCTTGATAAGTATGGAGGGAAAAGACTTTACAACAAAGACTGAAAAGCCAGACAAATTTGACTACATAAAAAATAAAAAAAACTTTAAAAAATATGCATGCTTGAAAACAACACACTTGGCAAAATCAAAAGATAAATGATCATGAAATCTAAAACTTTTTTTTCAACTCATCATAGACCAAGAGTCGGTCTCTCCCTAATGAATGTAGAGTCCCTAGAAATCAGTAAGAAGAGTAATAGAAAAGTGGGCAAAAGATATGACAATTCATAGAAAGAAACTATTAATGGATCTAAAATACATGAAAAGATACTTAGTCTAAAATAAGATAAAAAGCCAATTAAAATCATATTGAGATTCTATTTTTCAATTCTCAGATTGCAAAAATCTGAAAACATTCCATTGGTGAGGGACATGGAAATAGAAACCTTCAAATAAGTTACTGGTGGAAGTATATTGATACAGTCCTCTACAGAGAGCATCTTGAAAATATTTATAAAAATTACAAATGAGGGTTCCTGGAGGGGGGAAGATAGGGTTCTGGAATAGTGTCTCCTTCACTTTGCCCCCAAGCTGCCTACAGCTGCAGCTCCACCCTGAGTCAGCCCAGAAGTCTCCAGTGAACAGCCATGATCCATGCCACTCCCCCCGATACACACCTGAATGTGGCCAGCCTCTGTCCCCGCCATCTCATGCTGACTGACCTTGACAAAGCTGCTGCTGGCAAAGCTGACGGAGATATTTTATAGGAAGGATTTGGTTGAGGTAGGTGAAACAGGACATGAAAATATAGTCACACTTTAGTGCGGCATTCTCAACCTCTGGTTCACCTAATCTAGTACAGACTCTGGTAAAGTTACTGGGACCTTGGAGACCAGATATAAATGATGGGAGTATGGTTCAACTTTCATGGAGAAAGGGAACACTCTGGGAACAGAAGTTGCAATTGAAGACCAGATTTGTAAAGGTTTAAAACTGACATTTGATACCACCTTTTCAGA